CAGCTGACTGTGGGTAAAAGCATTATAATAGTGTCAAAATGGCGACTTTCCACTAAAAATCAATTTCTCGAGAATGACCCCAACTTTTTTATGTAAATATCTTTATATTGCCCCGGAGTACAGTTTATTGCAAAATGAATAAGTTCTAAGTATTTTACTTTAATTTATAAATAGGCTTCTACCTTACCAAAAGTCCAGTCTAAAAAAAAATCAAGATTGTATTATTACAGTTGTACTTGAACATCATAATACCATTTAATTTTAAGGTCCTCCTGTCAACATCAGCTGTCAGATGTACATTTCCAGTTTTGATTCTATAAATGAGGCTACGATGGTAAGTTCAAGTTGTCTACGTGCATTTAAAAATAAGCACCATTCAAATCAGAAGCTGCCTTGTTCCATTTATGGCTTCTCAATCATCGCCCAGCGCCGTGTACGATACGTTTACCATGCGACGTATTCTCGGGGGTTGACATTCGGGCATTTTCAACGCCGGGCAACAATCACGATGAAAAAAAACAAAAAAAAAAAAAAAAACGCCACATAATTTTTGGATTTAAATACATTTTCCCAATATTTCAGGTTTTTTGTACCCAGTGCATGATATTTGTTGCATAAAACCATGCAATTTACATGATTCATGTTAGAGCATTATTTCATAAAAAATGAATATTAATCATCAAAATTCAACTCGTGACCATCTTATAAGTACGTGTTTCTTCATAAGATAGCCAACTAAATATGGAGATAGAATAAGAAATGTGTACGACATAACCGATGGCAAATAGCTCAAATATATATATAGATGATTGAGTCAAGGAAAAAAGTTAATCTGTGTTAACGACCGTCAACTACCTCACCGGTTATTGTGTATGTGTTATAGGACTACTCAATTACGTCATATGTCCATTTCTCATGGAACGACCAAAGATTCGTCATGGTGGACGTCGACAAAGTAACGCTTGTTGTGTCCGAATATAAAACAAAAGTGTGGATACCTGACTTGAACTTCGAAGATTCCAAACGTGAAACTGTCCATAGTTTAGGCAGCCAAAGTCACGCTCTCCAGATAGCATCGGACGGAATTGTGTGGTATAGCTTTAGGTGAGACTGATCAGTTTGTACTGAAACGATACAATGCAGAATTTGCTTCACTTTCATGTGTGGTTTTTAATTAAATGTTTGTCATGATGTTTAAAAATCCTGCCCCCAGAATTTCTAATAATCCATTCAAATGAATACCGAATATCGCGTGATTTGGACGTTTGAATATATTTACATCGCTAATTAAGTCGGCCATTGAAACAATGAGTTTATTGTAGATGTCCCGGAGACTTCCGAACGCACATAAATTATAGGGTAGCCAATGAATGGAATGGAAGACCATAAATCATGTTACTCGAATTCGCAACGTGTAAATAATACACAAGCAGCACATTTTTATCAATCGTTCTTTTTTCCACAGGGTATCTTTGACTTTGTCTTGCAATTTATATTTACTCATCTTTCCTCTGGATACCCAGCTGTGTGAGTTGAAATTATTGAGTTGTAAGTATGACGACTATAGTTTAGCTTTTTCTTCTCTGCTGTTGATATTTATAACAGAAACCCAATATTACTCGATTGGTGGTGTCTGTCATCTGATCACATAACCACCAATCGCAAAAGATGAAATGATGACGTCACGGACTGTAGAGGGCGCACACCACGCTAGATGTACATGCTTATGTTTTATACATAATAACCTGCACATTACCTAAAGTCGTTGTTGACATTTACGTAACTGAAAATGATGTTCTTAATCTATGCATTCAGCAGATAGTTACAACACAGAAGGAATACTCTTGAATTGGGAAGATCCAGTGTTTGGAGTGACATTGTATGACAAAATACTAATGCCTCAGTATAACCTTGATGCATATAAAATCGACAAGTTCAACGTTAACAACGGACGCTACGGTGAGTTTGGCACACTGTGAATGTTTTGTTTTTAAGTCAGCGATCGAGATTAACCATAATACTCGGGGAACTATCAAATTTGTAAAATAAAAGAAAACAATATTATATACAAATAGGAAAACTTTCACTTACTATGTTTCGGCATCACGACCAGTGAATGGTTCATATGGGATTTTATTTTAGACGCTTCATGTGTGTCCCGACTTTCAAAACGTTGGTTTTCCCTATCTATCTAACCTTTTGCACAGCGTCCTTTATCTCCATAAACAGTCGGGATTATTGTTATTGGTTACGGTTTCAAAACATTACACTGATCCCAATTGGTCATTTAAAATAATAGGTGCAAATAATTCATGAACAGCTCGAAAATCGTCGTGAAGTTTGTTGTTGACACCCTGGCAAGACATATGTATACTGACACCCTTCTGATTCAAAATCATCATCATGGATGCAAGATGTTCCCTCAAGGGTCGCACTGTTTCAATAACATCATTGCCGAATTGCATTATGGGTATGTATAAATAACGACTGGGGTGCTAATTGCTGTGACATTGTACTAATTATGAATTGTCTGGGATATTCTGATTTAGGTGAATGGTCTTGCCTTGGAGTTCAATTTCTCCTGTCTCGGCGTGTTGGTTACTTTCTTGTTTCTCATTACGTCATCAGTTGTCTGAAAGTATCTTCAACGTGGCTGAGTTTTTGGCTTCCTTTGAGTTCGCCTCCGGCTCGTGTCAGTTTAATAGTATCTTGTCTCCTGGCCTTAAACCTTCAGAACTCGATGCTTCATTCTGATTTACCTTCACTCTCCTATCCGACGGTGAGTACGTGCCTTGTTTTCAAGTCTTTGGTCACACTTTTTCCGTACACAATACCATGCTGGTGGGAACTAGTCCCAATTGCGCGGGATCCTCGATCATTTGTTATAATTATGCATATAAGTCAGATGTAAGTAGACAAACATGACCTGCTAATGTGCACAATACACCAACATTACACACAGATTCTTAAAAAAATACCGGAACAATACTGTTTTAAAGGTGAGGATAAATTCATCCAAAGCATTATCCCGTTTGCGATGTTTATACTTCTATCTAGTAATATAGAAAGACAGGCATCACGGGGTAGAACCACCGGCACGTGTCCGTGAATTATGTAAATAAGGTGACGAAGAAGATGAATACCTTCAAAACAATATAATCGCCGAAGCAAATAAGAGTTCCTCAAAACACGATACCAAAGCCTTACCATTTTGTGTACGATTTTTGTTGTGTGATTTCTGATGGAAAAAAATGGAGTAACCGACGTGCACATACTAGTATTGTTTATTCTCGGGGCGGTGAAAACAGCTAAAGTCGAGCAAACGGCACAAACTCAATTTTGAACTAATCCTGAACAACCAAATTTATATATAATGTACATGCAGGGATAATCGTTCTACATCATTCAGGGGAGTCTGAACAACTACTCCAAAGTACCGTTTTATGAGAGTTCTCGGCCTTTGTTTTAACCGTGATGGTTGCCAGGTGGTGGAAATGCCCGGATGTCCGCTCCCGAAATAGTCGTTATACACTGCGCCCTCACCGAAAGGTCGATAACGAACCGGACTTGAACAGCGAGGGCGTAATAACTTATTACAGTGTTAAACTGTGGTAATTTGTGTTATGTATGCTTTTTGTCAGGCGATGGATGTCTGGTTGTTTCTTTGTATGGTGTTTGTTTTTGCTAGTTTGATAGAAACTGTAATTGCCATCAGCTGTGATCGTAGAAAAGCAAATACTTCGGACAAGCCACGACGACGCGGGAATTTGTCGGTGAACAAGAAAGTTTGTCAGGTAACTTTATCTCACTGTCGTAAAATTCTAGCTTCTTCACTGCACCTGCTACTTACCACAAGAACACTGCGGTAAAACACGCCTGCGTTGCAATATTCAGTAGTTTGTAAATCTACCAATCAACTTGCCCTTTTTATCACATGAAATCACTCAATCTATTTTAGGCGAGCGGTGGATACCGAAATAAGGCATTATTTTTCGAGTTTAATACACCCCTCATACACACTCACACAACATATATCATTTTAAAGAAAATTTTATCAGCTTTCAGAAAAGTTCTGTTGTGGTTTTGAAATATGGTGCCGTTTTCCAGAAAAACGGATTAACTTACCCTCCTGTCACTTCACATTTTTAGTTAAATGATGTTGGTAAAATCTCCTTTCTACTCGTAAAATGCTGTAAATCGTCTGGTTTGATGTGATTTATGTGAACAAACATTATATTTTGTGAAATAATCTATTATAGTGAATAAAGTGACAACTACAGTGACAAATAAATAACAATTTGCATATATTTGCATACATTAAATATGGCTGATATAGGCTGTAACGGTTCTCATTTACAAAGTAACAATACACTTGAGTAGTTTCATCAACATCGGTTCATAAATAATGTCAACAACAGAAATAATCATTAAGGAATATCAATAATATTTAAATTATAATACATGATATATCATTATTATATGCATACAATAATGACAAGTGCAATTTTACAAAGGTAGAAAAAAAGGTGTGTGGACATCATGCAGTTATGAAAGCAAAACTCGATACTGATTGTTAAATACAAAAATGGTTGTATAGATTTTGTTAATAAAGTA